CGCGTGCCGCGCGGACGATGTAGGAGTAGATGTGACCCACCAGCATACGAGATGATTTATTGGATGTGAGAGCTGGGAGTGAAATAACAACACAGCAACACAGGGGATTCCTGTTACATTGCAACGTACATTGCACGGGATATTGCACGGGACAATCTCTATACAAGAAGTATTTGAATACTGCAACATGAAACTTTACAACACTTCCCTTCAAAGTTAGCAAGTATGAGGGCCTCCGAGGGTCCAGCTGGAGTGGGCATTTTGATCTTCGGGCACGTCGCGACTGTCGATGCAGTTCGACACGCATCTATAGGCGATGCAAAACTGTCCTTGCTCGTGGAGTCGAACAACAGTAGATAGAAAGTTCCATGAAGGTTTTTGCTGTTGTTATATCGATCCTTCATCGTAACTAGTTCATGTGCCCATAACGGAGAACGTTTTGAAGCAGCCATCATTTCTCTCGTGTGACAACCGGGCCATCTAGTTTCCTGCTTAGTATATAGATCGATTCTTCTGCACTCTAGTGCTTCTGCAAGCTCGTAGGAGCACCCGTTCGACGTCCCAACACAGCGTTGTAAGGCAACATTCATACTTCGCGACGGCAGCGCTTCAGTCGCACGTTCAACGATCGATGCGCATGCTTTCAACTGCATCGTTGTCGAACGCGCGACCGAAGCGCTGCCGTCGCGAAGCCTGAACACTGCCTAAAAAGAGCCTTCCAGACGTTGCTACACTTTCGAAATAGTCTGGCTGCCCCCCCCCCCCGATGCCGTTCTTGCATCCGAGACCTCGCGCACTTTCCACTTTCGCCTTGTAAATGCTAGTCGGCTCCCGCGAACGCCGTGTTGTAATTTCGGAATACATTTGTCATCTTGAGCATTGTGATGTGAGGGGGTATTCGAAGGTCGGCCCGTCAGGCCTCGACCATACACTCAAAACATGCCTCAAGAGAAGGATATCCAAAATGAACTCACCGATGATATCTCACCAACTCATTCAGGGACCTGAACTTGACAGACCATAAGAAGTATTTCCCGTTGTTGTCACGCAGCACTTTAAAATGTTGAATAGTATCCTCGAACCTAAAAGATAAGAATATTAGAGAACATATGGACGGTCTCATCCTTTCTTCGAAGACAAGAATCTAACTTCAGTATTACCGGCAGGGTAGCGTAACCCAGATTGGCGCCCGGTAAATTGCAAGTCCACACAAGGTTACTTACAACACACTATTTTGCGCCGGTACCACAAAGAGATTTGTGCGGAAATGCTCGCATAGACTGCATAGTTCAAGGATTGACGAAGTTCCTGCAAAATTTGCTGACGCTTTCCTTTCACTTGATGTGGAGGTTCTATATGTTTGGCATAAGCGCAGTTTACGTCCATTTGGCAGCGTACGCTTGCAACGCCTGGCGACCTTGGAAAGATGTTTCCAATGATCACCACCAAACGTGCAGCACTGCCGAAGTATCAAAAGCAAGGGTAACAGAAACATTGTTGAAGCCTATCCTGACATCTAAATCCTGATGGCGCTGTCACACAACAGACTTCTTACGCCCAATCAAAGGAAATTATCCGCGTGGTTATAACATCGGTGTTGTTTTTGACGCGCCTGCAATGGACTTACAATTGACTGGGCGCCACCTGGGTTACGGTAGGTGGTGAAGAGTGCTCCTCCACATGGTGCCACTGGGAACTGCTCGTCTCTGCGAGCTAAGCCAAACGCAGACATCCGTAAGCAGGCGACAGGCTTTCGTGACGGGCCGACCTACGATCATCCATGTCACATTAACATGTTTATCATGCCATATGTACTTCGAGATAATGCTAGGGCGTCCGTGGGAGCCTACGCGCACTCGCAAGGCCCGGCGAGAAAGGAAAGTATGCGAGGGTCCTCGATGCGGTGACGGCATCGGAAGAAGGGGGGAGGAGGGGGAGGAAAGTGCAGGAAACAAGATAGTCCAGTTACAAGTCGGGAGACATTTGTCGCGGCTTGGAAGCCATTATTTGCGGCAAGTCAGGAACCTGTCTCCATATCGCTTCTCGACGTTCCCGTGACTTGACAGCTAGCGTGGAATCTTTCGACGATCTTTTGATGAAGACTGTTCTTGCTGTCCAGCAACGAATGTACCATTTCTTTTCTGCATATGCTCCGCAGACGGGATGCTCTGAACAATCAAGACGAGTTCTGGACTCTGCTTGAGAAAAAAAACAGCTGAGGTACAGTCAGCAAACGTTGTTATTCTCGCTGGTGACCTTAACGGGCACATCGGCGCAACGAAGCGGTTTCAGTTGTCATGGTGTGGTCACGGAAAACGTGACTTGAAAGCGAACGCATCCTAGAATATGCAGAAGCCCATGATCTCGCCACCGTGAACGCAATGTTCCATAAACATGACTCTCACCCAATTACCTTCTACAGCGGGTGTGCCAGAACACAAACAGAATTTGTTTCAGGCATCGCGAAGGACTTGTCACAGATACGAAGACGGTGCCGTATGAGACAGTAGCCTCGCAACATCATCAGCTTATCTGTACGCTGAATATAACACCGCTCAGGTCTAAACACATAGACCCATGTGGTCCCGAGGGAATCAAGTGGTGGCGTTCGAAGAAAAGGATCTCTCGCATATGGTTACCAACCGTCACCACTGTCGACGAAACGTGGAAGAGTGCTGCCAAAACAATAGTTCACGTCTCGCTCTGAACTTGGCACAACGAAATGAAAGGGGTAGAACTGAAAAGCAGGCGTGGTTGCGGACAGATGACGTCAGGCTAATGTTCGCAAGAAGAAGCGCAATTACTTGTTTCTTGAAGACAATTCAGCTGACATCTGGCGGAAACACCAGGAAGCGAAAAGTACGGCAAAGAAGGCTGTGGCTGCTACAAAAACCGCTCACTTCGAAGAGCTCAGCAAAAAGCTGGAAGCGCGCGATTGCGAATGTCACACCTTCCGACTTGCCAAAGCTCGTCACAACCAGATCGAGGATGAAGAGTTCTTTGGCATCAACGACGAGAAGGGCCGCCACCTGATGGACCGAACAAAGGTGCTGAGGCGGTGGGCGACTAATTTGAAAAAATTTACACAATGGAATGTACACACCCGGCCATACCTTGCGCCTTACCAACATATAGTCCCTTTCAGATAAGCAAGAAGGGAACGAAAGCGTCTCTTAAGAAGATGAAGCCAGGCAAGGCAACGGGCCCTGATGACGTGGCGGCCGAAGTATGGAAGTCACACTGCTGGCATTCTGCCGAATGGTTGAAGTGCTTTTCAATCAGGTCGTTGCAGAGAAGAAAATGCCCCAAGTATGGCGAGAGCACGACTTCCGATCTGGAGGAAGGCAGTCCTGCAGACTGCTCGAATTATGGTCCAACTCGTCAGCTCTCGCAAATCATGAATATTTTTGAGCGAATCGTTGATAACCGTATTCGGGCTATTGTCCAGCTCTCCACCAACCGTGTGGCTTCGTGACCGGCTGTAGCACCATCGACGCCATACGCCGCTCGCTTTTTGCTGGAGTAACATCGCGAGAATTAAAAGCATGTCCATCCAGCCTTCCTTGATTTATAGAAGGTGTTCGACCGTGTCCAACGTGAAGTTATAACGCCTTACGGCAGCACGGCGTTCCCGAAGCCGAGAGTCGGTACGCATCCTGTAGTCCAGCCCAGCCAGTAGAATGCGAAAGCGGGCAGGCATTTCGACATGGGGGCTTGCCACCTTTGGTGTACACGAAGGCTCTGCGCTTTCCTGGCTACTCTTCGTTGTTGTCATGAATGCCATCACGGGACCTCCAGAAGCCGGCTCCCTGGACACTTCTTTATGCTGATGATGTGATGCTCGCCTGCGAGGATAAGAATGCCTCGAGGAACAGTTCAAGTTTGGACTGAGCGGTTAGCGAACTTCCGACTTAGATTGAACGTCAAGAAAGAGTACCTGACGACTGACTCGGACAGGTCTGGCTCCCTTAAGATCAGCGACAGTGTGCTAACACGAACGACAACGTTCAAATACCTCGGATCAACAATAACGTCTGGACTTTATAGAAGTGAGCGCACGTGTGAATGCAGCCTGGTCTAAGTGGCGCTTATGACTGGCGTTCTTTGCAGGCAAGACGATACGAGATGGCCTCAAATCGAAGATCTATCGGACCGTCGTTCGACCTGTGGCGATGTACGTGTAGGTGCTGAATGCTGGCCAACGACCAAAGAAGTTGAAGTCTGCAGTCATGCAGATGGAAGTGTTAAGATGGACCGCCGGTGTCACGCATATGGTTCGCATACGCAATGACGACATGAGGAAGAAATTCGGTGTAGCTCCTGGGGCAGAGAAAATGCGCGAAGCTCGCCTTCGATAGTATCGTCATATTCTTCGCGCAAATTGACACCGTTTGTAGAACTACTCTTGAGCTCAAGGTGCCCGAAATCGTCCCAAGGAACGCTCCAAGCAGCGCTGGTTAGACACGTTGCATGCGGACTCAAAAATAGTACTCATCCCGACCCAGCGTTCAATCGGGAGAACTGGCGTGACAAAATAAGACGAGCGGACTCCGCTACAGAGCGAGGCGAAAGCTGAAGAAGGTCTCGGGTTACGGTACTGGCGGTAATACTGAGATTAGCTTCTTGTTCACCGGATTAGGAGAAAGCAATATAAATTCTACAGATATCTCCAATATCTAACACCATACAGTTCTTTAAATGTAGGTAGCTTCAAGCGACCTCTAACATAGCTATTAATTCACCCGAACTGAGGAAAAAAAACTTTCAGTACAGTTCTAACAGGCCCAAATGCAGCTATACACCAATTCAGTACTTGCCCCAACATTCCAGTGCACCGCAGTATAACCTCCACAACACACGCGGAATGTTGCGCCTTGGAAAGGAGTGTAATGTCATGAGTCCCAGATCGCCCTACGAAGTATTACGATGAGAAAAGCTCAAGTTCAAATGACAAAAAGGATTCTTTTCGTGGTCACGCATTTCATGCCTTTTAATGCCAATCATACTCTGACAATGGTATGAAAGGGTTCCAGTGCGTGTATCACTAATGAGTATTCGTGAAACAAAACCCACTTGACGGAAATACTAAAGTCACCAGGAGAACTCTCGCACTGTCGGACTAGAAAATTACCATCACGTGTCCCCTGCTTCTTTAGCAGTGTCTCAGCATCCAATCGCGAAATCTTTCCCAAATACCTGAAACAAATAAACTGACAACTAAATGATATGTTGAACAATTTTGAGAACTCGATAAGAACGGGAACCCTTGTAAGCTTAAGCGCGTAAGCAAAACTCAATAAAGTGGGAAGAATCCCGAGTGGTAAAAACAGCGCTAATTATCGATTCGATTGTCATACAGGAGTGTCGCTCAAACTGACTTTGTGACAGACCAGATTGCGTGGAACGGTGTTCTCGAAAGAATGCGGGAAGTTTGCTGCAGAAGTCCAAAGAGGGAAAAAGTAGAACTGGTACCCAGGAGTGCCCCATAATGTTCATACTTCACAAAAAATGGTGTGGATGAAGTCGAGAGCTGGATGTCCGATCAAGCTGGACTACTGCTGAGATTACCCGCTAGACTGACATTCGTTCTGCAACCGATAACCGAATACTCTCGAAAAAATGTGGGTGATCAAAGATGTAAGCCTCGTTCCTTGCAGAAGCGTAAAAACAGAACCGAATCGATGCTTGCAGCAACAAGGTTTTCCGGATAAGACGTCATTCACGATTGTGAAATCAGACCTTAACCCAAGACCAAATATAAGTCGTCTTGTACCCCGAAGCTCACAAGAGCCGGTCTTGAATGAATGCAGATGAGAAGCTGCCCGAATTTTGCCATCAGACTTTACGTGGGCCCAAGAGGGTGCCATTATCAACAGATTGTGACACTGTGCTTTTTGAGAGACTCCATTCGAGAAACAAAACCGTCACTACCAATAAATGGGCTCTCCCTCATTCAAATGGATAGTACCACATAACTACAAGGAGGCTATCATTGCTCATCGCAATGCTCACAATGGCTCCGACAGAAACAAAAAAGACTCGGCTTCAATCGCCTCATTCGCCCAAGTCGCGGCCGTGCGAGTTTAACTATTCTAGATACTGAAAGTACTTTTCAGTGGCAAGCACTGCGACAATTCGTCGATCGTCAAAATCGGTATCAATGATCAAAGCGACATAACAAAATGCAGAAAACACATGGTTAGAGAATGAAATTCACTCTTGGATGACCGGAAGATAAATTCGAGAACATTATTTATCAGCTCAAAATGAATAAAAAAAAGTGGAGAAACGTCTATATCGTACCATGGACTATCGTGCATTCGAATATAGTTCGACGGAACAAATCCTTCGACGCCATCGAGTTCTGCTTTGAACCAATGTGGGTCTTCATCCTTGTTCAGTACCTATGAAAGAAGACAGTTTGCAAAAGTTGCACTGAGGAAATTCAGAGTCAATTTTTGAAGCGACTTCCATGGAGTCAACAGATCCTATACGTGAAAAGGACCCATTTCCAAAATCATATGGTGACGGCCCGTACCACTTACTACGTGTCGACGAGCTATTTTCTTCATGACTTCCACGCGGTACTGCATTTTTTCTTCGTTGAGAAATAAAAATCTTTGAATAAAGGAATGACTAGGGTGAGCACCTTTAGTTGGAGTGGCATACGGTAAGATACTATAGCCACCACCTAGGGCATATCCCGAGGCCCTGCTTGCGGCATGACCTTAGATTGCTGACCTCTCCCTGTTGATCAACGAAACGAGAAAAATCCAATCGAATCCATCCGTTAGCAGTATTTGATATGTGGAGATTAGTAAATTCCCAATTCCATAAGTGTTAGAATGAGGATAAATGTTCGTATCGAAGAAAACCCTGTCGAATTTTTCAGAAATTTGTTTTCAGGTGTGCCGATACATCGTATGACCTTCCAAAGACAAATTAATTCTTACAGGTTGACTTTTCACACTCTATTTCTCTTAGAACCCCTCACTGTTGACCTTGCTGCTGCTGCTCACCCTATTTAAGGTCACCTGAAAATATATTCATGTAGTTGGACGAGAACAACATTAACACACCTCGTCAGTGTTTGTCGTTACACGAGTATGCTTCTGAATTTCTACTCGAACGCTTCTTGTCATGACCTTTCCATGGACTCACTCCTCACAGTTTTACTCCACCCGATTCTCTACACGTTTCCGCTGCTCTACCGCCGGCCCAATCACTATACGTATAGCTTCCATATGGCTCCTTCGCGCATCTTCTTCACACCACTACCGTCCGAGCCTTCTCACCTGCATATTTCCTGACATCTACTCTATTTCAGAGCACTCTTCCAGAAATGCTTATGGATTTTCAGCCTACTGGTGATGTCTGCTACGGGACCATGCAGGCAATTACAACACCCATTCCTCCTCGGAAATCACATTTCCTCCACACCGCCTCCAACTTCGTCGCCCATTCCTCGTCTTGAAATCACAGATCCCTCCACAGTTCCACCACCTTTGTCGCCCATTTCTTCTCAGAAAGTCCCACACCCTCCTCCACCTCGGTCGCTCATTTCCTCTCAGGAATTCTCACACCCTCCATGGGTCTCTCAACCACTGCAAGCAAAAGAGATGCAAAACCGCTCCGCTGCTTTCACATTTGAAGAATGTTATCGAAACGGGCCCACTGAGGACCAGGTAGAAGACTTTTGCAAAAGGATGGCTCGGCACTATTCAACTATTACTACCCCAGTTTTCCGAAAACGGGCCGGATCTTGATCGACTTTTTTCTAAGGGGGCGGATTTGGCTGAAACTTGGGTTCTAGGGGTAATTGGACCTCCTGAACACGAATATCACATTCATTTTTCCTGAAAGTGCCTGGCGCCCGCGCCACAGGCGCCGGCGCCAAAGTACCCTAGACCACCAAATCCGCTAAAAACTTGTACCCAGGGGTAGTTTGACCTCCTGAACGCGAATATCACATCCGCTCGGCCTGAAACCGCTCGACGCCTGCGCTACGGGCGCCGGCGCCAAAATGTCGGAGGTCACTGGCGCCTGTGGCGCGGGTGCCAGGCACTTTCCCCTAGAACCCAAGTTTCAGCCAAATCCGTCCCCTTGGAAAAAAAGTCGATCAAGATCCGCCCTGTTTTCGCAAAACTGGGGTAGTAATAATTGAATAGTGCCTGGCTCGCGTAGCTAGTAGAAGCATATAATTTTTGGAATGTTGAGTAGCGCATTTTATTTATTTCGTTGTGAATCTGGTGCCAGTATAAAGAAATTTCCTTTTTTTTTACACTCAACCTTGTGAATTGTCCTCGTCAGTATCTTGTTTCGTTGGGTGTGTGATGTTCCTAAAAGATCTCACTTCACACCTATCATGCCTCTCGGGGAGACTCGCCTGCGGTGTTGCCTAACTTAGCTGCTCCCTCACTAACTCCTGACCTCTCGTCTACAGACACGACTGAGCCAAACTGAACATGGAAAGCAGAAGGCAAAAATAAAAGTAAACGTAGGAAATGCCAGAAAAAAAGGTGTTTTCATAAATTTGAAATGTCAAAAGCACATTTAACCACTTAGAGCAACTGAAATGCAGACGTGCACAACATGAAACTACAGCAATTTAAATGGGAAAAAGGGCCCGTATTGAAAAAAATTCCATTGTTTTCATCATGGAAGGTATCCCAGGAGATTTGAACTTCTAGGCTTTGTAATTACTTGAAAGTTGAGTGTGTTCTGCTTCAAGAACTCACTGTAGTCAGTTGATGGTCATCTATAGGGAGGTTAATTCGTTAAATATGACCGTCAGTACTTTTACCTGCTAGGCACCTATTTAACCAACCTCACACCTGATATAAAGGTTGTCGCTAATCAGTAATTAAGCGAGCTGATTAGCGGAAATACCAGCATGAAAGATAACATCCACTCCCTTTCCTCCGTTCCCACCAATTCTCTGATTTTCCGTAATGTCTCCGGCAGTACATCACTCCCTTTTCCTTTGTACACGTTTTCTTTTTCATATGATGTCGCGCAAAGCACTACCAACTCAACGTATGTTTCTTGATGTACACAACGATCGGTTCTTTGGGAGAAGTATACTACTATACATGTGCCGTTTCCCTCGTTCTATGTTTTAACTGGAAGCACACCCCTCGACGCCGCACATTTCGATGGGTGAACTTTGGCTCAACTCCGCTTCCTACCTTAACGCGCGGCTTCATTGTCATATCCACCATCAGCATACAACTCGCTCATTTCACTTGCACATACCTCCATTCCAGATTCTCAGCAATCTTCAGATTCCCTTTTAGCACCAGTAGAAACACAACCACGGGAATAGATGGGCGAACGACGCCTAAGCAAATATGGAAAACGAGTATGTAATAATTTACAGGATTGTAGCACCAGTCATTCGTTCACTTCTTATTGCATGTATGGGACCAAACACTACGAGGTTCACGAAGCGGAAGGATATTGTGGAAAAATGTTCTAGATTTGTTACTAAACCACCATCTAAGCCCAACTTAATTTAAATTTAATTTAATTTTAATTTTTTGTTTCCTTTATTCAATTTCAGCATGCTTTTCATTTTTGATTGTTTCATGTGATCCAAATTTTTCAATTGTAGTCCTTAATTCTATTGAATTTGCTTACAAATCAGCAGTAAATAATCAGTCATCATGATGTTATCGTCAAGTAGAGGACAGGTCAGGAGTTAGTGAGAGCGCAATTATGTCAGGCAACACCTCAGGCAAGTCTTCCCGAGAGGCATGATAGGTATGAAGTGAGATCTTTTAAGAAAGTCCTACACCCTGTTTCGTTGAGCAGCCAGTGAGACGTCAGCAGTCAGCGCAGCAATTAAGTGAGGTCATGCCGTAGGCAGACCTCGGGATATGCGCTAGGTGGTGGATACAGTATCTTACCACATGCCACTCCAACTAAAGTCCGCTCCGAATGACTATGAATTAAATGAACAATAAACGTAAGAGACGAGATATGGTCTTTGACACGATTCAAATCATTCTGCACGCGATTGGCCAACCTCAGATTAGTTTCTGCGAATTTTTCTGAGGGCAGATATGGGTGAAAACTCGTCTCAGGGTGTATTTTGACCACTGTGAATAGAAAGGTATTTGACCAGTTTGATTTGGGTTATTCAAGGTACTTTGGCGCCCGCACCACAGGCACTGAAAACTTGCCTCCGAGGCAGCTTACATCCTTGACACAAATAACACATTCGCTCGAATATGCCTGGCACCCACGTTAGAAAGAACAGTACCACATGCCTCTTTTGACCACTGTGTGTGTAGCGCGAATCCCAGCCCGCTTCGTGCCAAGCGGTGTACTGCGGCAGTCAGGGAAACATGGCGAGACAAGAGAGAGCACCTTTTCTGACTCCCTGCGATGGTGGTCCTTTCCCTCGCCTTAGCAGACGAGGAGCTCGCTATATCGGAAGAAGAAGACGGACGAGAAAGTGCAGGCTGGGCTCGCACTACAACGTCTATACTTTCTGCCATCTTTAACTCTTTAGCACCGATGTGGGTGTGACATTTGGATACACAAGTCAAACTACCTTCGGAGACAAGTTTTCGCCCAATGTGCTTCTTCTTCTCTCTAGCCTTAGTCCCGCGCCGTCGCAAGGTCCGCTGTTCTTGTTAGACGTCGCCACTTGTTCCGATCCACTGCATCTTCTGCTGTGGCTTTCTTTTCGGTGAAGTCCTCCTTGATGGTCCCTCTATCTTTTCTTTGGGTGGTCTCGTGGTCACTTGCCCTCTACTTCGAATTCTAATGCCTTCCTTATTGGGTGGTCTTCAGGCCTTCTCAGCGCGTGCCCATACCATCGCAGTCGCTGCTCTCGTGCGTTCAGCTGGATCGGAGCCGTCTGTGTAACCGCCCCGACATCCTCGTTTCTGACTCTGCCGAGACGTGTCCAGCAGCAGGCCCATTTCAGCATTCTCATTTCAGGTGAGTGGAGTTGCCTTTTATGGTCCTTGCAGATGGGCCAGCACTCACTGCCGTAGAGCACTGTAGGCCTTACCACCACCGGTACACCTTGCCCTTGAGCGTTCTCGACACAGCCGGTCGCACTGGATGCCAGTGGACTCCCTCCACATCCAGGCTGCGCTTTCGGGCCTTTACCGCCGTCCAACGTCCGGCCTGTCAACCTGGGCCTAACGCTGGCTGGTATCGTCCCCATTTTTGCAATTTTTGCAAGGCATGGTTTGCACCTCGGCAGGGATCGAAACCGTGAGAATGAGAACATGAGTCCACACTCTTAACCACTCGGCTACTATCCCTGTCTTTTGACCCAACGTGCTGACTTGAGGTATTTCGTGGCACAGATAGCAGGTGCTTCCATGCCATGCGAATGTGATATTCGTGTTCAGAATGTCAAGCTACCATTGGAGGCGAATTTTCATCAAATCTGCCCTTGTGGAAAAAGTCTGCTATCCTGCTGTCCTCTCTAGCAAGACAATGCCTTATTGCCTTGTTTCGCCGTGTTTCCACATTGCCACATGGTGTGACAGTACGCGCT